TTTTATCTACTATGATGTGGCAAATTATACTGCATAACAAAGTATGACTTTGTCAATAAAAGACCACAAAATTTGGGCACCCTCCAAGACTTATAGCCCCAGGCTGAGAGGTGTGAAACAATCTCAACCCCTTTTCCCTTCACAAAAGCTACACCAACTTACAGAAATGAGTCAGTTGTTTTCTAGGATGGAGGAGATTTTATACTTATTTCTGTTTTGCTTCTACTCAAGCAAATTAGCCTTTTGAAAATCAAAATAGCACAGTGCCAGGCATCACTGACAGTACAAAGCCAACTTAGCAGGAATGAGAGCCCTTACAGGGCTGATGTTAGCCAGTTCAGTTACTTTCCTGGAAACAGCTTTGACCCTGTTCCATCTCTCTGTAGCAACCTTCTCTGGTGTGAATTTTCCATTCCCAGAGTGGGTTATTTCAAATTCAGCACCTAGAAAGGCTTCTCTGGTCCTCCAAGCAAAGCCTGTCTCACCAATGCCCTAAGACCCATGAAAACGACTCATTCCCATCAAGCACATTTCCCTCTGGATAGGTGCCTCTCTGTCTTACTTTAGGTTGAAACCTCAATTAAAATTCTTATATTAGAAAGAAAACAGCCACCCGGTGAGATACTCGGTTGATCCCTGCCAACAGAAACACCCTCGGTGTACTCAGTAAACTGAGAACGTGCAAGTCCTGCTCATTACCACAAGATTACTTGAGCTGCACTAGCTTTAGACACAGGCATGAGTATATATACATATATATACATGCCATAAAACTGGCAATTATGTGCATGTTACGCTCAAATTCCACAAAAACAGACTACGCCAACGCTATATTCAAATTCCACAGGCAAGGATGCACAAACGAGCCTAAAAGGCAGCAGTAAGTCAGAATCAAGCCTTGTAACGTGTACAATCCACACAAAGACAAGACAGCATTGTAGAAGCCACTAAGCTAATAATTACAAACCTAATTTAAAACCCGGAACACATGGTCAGGATTGAGATCAGCGGGCGCACCCCTGGACCTTGGTATCACCACACTGACAGAAATCAATAGCTGCCATTTAGAGGTCACTGATAACAATCTATAGCAACTGAGTCAGTCAACTTGAAACCTATTAACAGCTGTCGTAGAAAGAATTACTTTTTCAATTTGCTAATGACCGCTTCTTTCCTTCCAGATGACCATTTTGTACAAACACAGCAGAAATCCCTTTGGACTCCCCCTTATGAATGAACTGTTCAGGATTTCAAGACACTCTCCAGATCAGCATCAGATAATCATCTGCTTTCACAGTCAGCATCAGGATGTCGATGTTGACACTGACATCAAGATTAACGAAAGTGACATGGGAAGAGGGTGACAGCAGGGACACCCAAGGCACACACTCCGGTGCCATCTGCACTCCACCACTACAGGGCTCAGCCTCTGTCATTAGAGCTAAATGAGGGGTTACAGCACCACAGCCATCAAAGGCAAAGCTTACCAACGTGGTATTTTATCTGCTGAAGATCACACATTCATGACTGCACTCAACTGGAGAATGAGAATTCAGTGAGGGCTTTTTCTACCTTCTGCACTTCACTGTCCTCTACAGGTTTGGGAACCCACAGCTGAAGTACACAGCCTAACAGTGACATGACAGGTCATCACACAGACACAGCTTAGCCTCTTTAACTACTTGCAGTAAAAGTCACTGATCATTAACTGCAACATCTGGCATTTTGTAAATCTCTGGCATTTTGTAGGTCTCCAGCACATTCATACTAAGTCCAGCAAAACCCCCTGGATTTTAGACTCAGAGCATTTTTCACACAGATCAAACAGAAATTGGACAATCTTGAGGACACTACTGCTCTAAGCTACAACTGAACCTTGGTAAAAGCTCCCAGGTTTTTTGTTTGATTGATTATTTTGCTTTGGGAAAATACAGTGTTCTGACCGAGCTCTGCCTACAATGAACTAGGGCCATAAGAAGCAAACCCAGTATTCCTACATGGCAAGAAACTGCAGTTACTCGGACAGTAGCCACACATGCCTGCCACAATTAATTGTCTGAAATAAGAGGAATAAACTAATCAAAACCGAATATTGACATGATGAGTGACACCACTTAGAAATAAACTTCAAGGACAATAACAACAAAAAAAACAAAACAAAACAAAAATAAATAAATAAATAAAAAAGAAAACCACAACACCACGAACATTGTTGGCTTTGCCCTCCCAGCGCAGGACGAGCGGTGCGAAAGCGTGACACCCACTCGGACCTGCCAAAGCCAGCCCGGCCGCGGCTGTGGGAGCGGCACACACAACTCACAGAACAAGCTGCGAAATCACGAAGGAAATGACATTTTATTCTCGACGGCCAGCTGCGGCACACACACCTCCCCACGAGCGCCGGCTGCTCCCCTCGGCCGGCCGGGGCGGGCGAACCCGGCTGCCCCAGCCTCGCCTCACGCTGCCCGGCCCCCCGCGTCCCCATCCCCGCGCCGCCGCCCGCCCGCTACAACTTTCCCGGGGCACCCCTTACCGCCGTGGAGCCGGAGGAGGAGGCGATGTAGACCTTGATGACCATGCTGGGAGGCGGCGGCGGCGGCGGCGGGATGCGGAGCCGGGCGGGTGGGTGTGAGCGGGCGGCGCGGCGAGGAGCGGGCTGGGGCTGGGGCTGAGGGAGGGCGGGCGGGAGGCGGTGGGAAGCCCCGCCCCGCCTCGCCGCGCTCACTGGGCTGCCAGCCCAGCAGTCACCGCCACCCAGCCCGGAAGAGGGAAAATGCCTTTTTTTTTTTTAAAAGAAAAAAAAAAAAAAAAGGAAGAAAGGGGCGAGGCGAGTTCTCGACGAACCACGCGAGAGGTGCGGGGGAGGGGGCGCACGGCGGGGGCTCGGGCGGGGCCGCTGCCTCAGGCACGGGGGTGAGGAGCGGGGCGGGGGGAGCCGCAGAGCCGGGAAGGACCGACCCGTCCCTGGGCTCCGCCGTTACCGCTCGCCGCCCTTCGGCAGCTTCCCCTCCGCCCTGGAGACACGCCATCTCCTCTCGTTCCGGCGTGCCCGCGGCCGTGCCTCGCCGGGCAGCACCTCGCTACCCCCGGGAGGCCGGAGCCAGCCGGCGGCTCCCTGCCCGCCGGCCCCCTTACCGTGGCCTGTCACTTGGAGGGGTGACGGACGAAGTTTGGGTTGTGTAGATGTTACTGGGCAATGAGAATTAAGAGTTTCCACTTAAAATTTATTCCAGCGTGAAAGCTGCTGTCCAAGTGACGCGTCAACCCACGCCGAAAGACAGGCTGGGCATCCAGTCGAGTTCTTTGCCTTCCCGCAATTCATGGTGAAGCATCTTCCACACAAACAATAAAAGCATCAAAAGCCACAAAGCGGCACCGCCACCGCGGGTCTGCCCCTGGCTGCGACAGCCCCGCGAGGCTCTGGCCGGGTGCTGGAGCTGTGCACGGGGCCCAAAGGGCCGCTGCCCACCACCGCGCGCTGCCCTTCCACCGCAGGCCATGGCATCGCCTGTATTCACTAGGGCCCCCGGACGAGACCTCCAAGAGTGCTTAACTGTTACGGTGACACGTTATTTAGGGAAATTTACATTCAGCACCTGCCCCTTTCCTCTGGTATTCCACATAATACCTTCTATATATTTTATTGTACATTCTGATAGCAACTTCACGGAAAGTGGAAAATAATTGTGGTGATAAACATAGCAAGCTGAAATGGTAACACCTACCAACTAAGATGAAAGAAAGATACTTGTTCTGCTCTTGGCAAAAAGGAAGGAGGTATTTCTGAAATTATCTTTTCTGAACAAATTAAGCGATCCTGTTTCAAATTACCAGCTGTTCTTTCTAACCACAGACAAGATTTTTAAAAAAATGAATTAAAAAGCCTATTAAGTGATTTATATTAATTTTATTATTTTGCCAATAGTAAGAGGAAAGAAATATTTTGAGGATGACATGCCTAATTTTGATACTACTTACGATATGTATCCGACTCTGAGACTGTCGTGAGATTTATGTATGTTTTGAAAAAGCAGTAAACCAAAATGTATTTAGGATGATGGCACACAATAAAAATTCCCTGGTTCAGGGAATTTCAAGCTTCAATAAAAACAAATGGTGTACTTTTTAATATCTTTAAAACAAACCAAGTTAAGTCCAGGAGATTAAAATTCCGCAAAAAGTGGTTTTTTGGATGTGTTTGTAGAGCTTCCTTCACAACTGCTTCAGAAATGCACTGATAATTCCCATTTCCTCCAAGGCACCACTCTATGTACCAGTCTGTAACCTGATTCATGACAAGGAACACGAGAGGTAGAAACCACAGCTTATCAGAAAGAATGAAAAAATGCAGGTGGAAAGCAGGATATATAGGTTTATTTGAACTTTTGGCTCACTTGTCATTCTGCTGGCTGGCCGCCTGGTCTCTGGCCAGCCTTCCTCTCCTCGTCACACACTTAGCTCCTCAGAGTTGAAATTCTACAGGAATGAGCTGCACCTTGTCTTTCTGCCTACTAAAAAAACTGGTATAATCATTACTCTCAAAAGTGCACTTTAGGAGGCATTTTATCTTCATGAAAGAAGATTTATGAAGTTAAGAACAATACATGAACTGGGTATTATTGAAATGACTAGGTTTTCTTGACTCATAATAGTAAATTTTCTATTCTATTGGCAGAAAAGCATTGTTTTCTACTCCCAGACTACTCGTGTAAAATCCATGGTATTATTTTTGTTTTTACTATTAAACAGTTGTGAAGTGTTTAATTATCCCTCTCAAGGTAGACCAAAACCTCAGACAAAATGAACGAATTGATATTATGCCTCTAAGAGGAAAACCTCCTGCTCTTGTGCAGCCAACAAAACAGTATGTATATAATATTCAGGGGTGACTGTCATCTCCTCAGTTCCTTTGTACACTTGCTGTAGCGTGTGTTTGTACAAGCCATCTTGTCAGGCTGCATCTTTTATTACTGTTGCTAGAAGGAAAACAAAATAGCCGATTTTTGGTTTATATTATTTTATATATTATAAAGCAGCAATATATTGTCTAAGTGGCAGCACTGGCACTGACTTCAGTGGCAGCAGGAGTGTAAGTGCTCCCCAGTGGGGAGCCCAGTGGATTGGCCACCTCAGAGTCATCCAGAGATTTCAGATAAAAATGTTGCTGGTAATGTTAAAGATCTACTCATTTTTTTTCTTAAATAACAGAGAAGGATGGGGGCTTCTCAGCACTGGCAAATTAAGCTATTAAAAAAAAAAAAAAAAAAAGAAGAAAAATGTAGTAGAATCACACAATGAAAGATATTACAGTAATCAACTGCAAAATCCCTCTTGTATAAAAGGTCAGGAAGCACATGTGCTTCAAATGCTCCACTGCTTCTCTGTAACCACGGAGAGAAATACATCCAGAATTCAAACAGCAAATATTTGTCTAGTAACGTGAGGCTGCGCCAGGTTTCGTTCCGTGATTGTGCCCGTACTATTGCTAGAGGAGGTGATCTGGACCCGTCCGAACTTCTGAAATGGAGGGACGTGTTATCGGTAAGACATGTCACCCCAACGCTCTCAACAGGAAATAATAAATCTATTTTTCATGCCCAATCCCAGCCTACCAAGCTTGCCAATAATGGGAGCCAGAAGGCAAACTGTGGCTCAGAGCACCTCTGGCTTCACCCCGCAAGAGCCACGTCCCGCTGCCGCCTGTGCCAGCACACCGCCGCTTTGCGGGGGGTGGAAACTCCGCTCCCCTGCGCCCGCAGGTTTGTGGAAGAGGGTGGAGAAGTCCCGGCCTGCTTCTCCTCCTCCCTCTCATTTGGAATCAGAGCAAGGCCGGAGTTTCTTTGTTTTGGTCTATAATTGTGCAAGACACACGGCAGCTGGCTGCACGAGGAAGTAAACCCCACTGCCCCGAACATGGCGCTCGGTCTTCCCGCCGTCCGCCTGCCGCGTACCGCTGCGGCGGGACTAACGGGGTGACGCTGAACCCCTCAGCACGCAGAGAAGCGATCCTGTGTGCCACAGCCCGCCACGCGAACCACCTCCCCGCCCCGGGATTAACGCCTGCACCCGCTGCCGCTTCGCGCGGGGTGCTCGCCGCACCCCCTCGGAGCCGTCCCCAAGAGTATTACCGGCACGAGAAGGGCCAGACCAGGCTGCAGGCTCCGTCCCTGCCCGGGACCCCCCCGGTGCCGCTGTGCCGGCCCCCCCCGGCCCCCCCGCCAGCGGCCCCGCCCGCGCCCGCCACTGCCTGCCGGGACCGCGCCCCCTGCTGGCGCAGGGCGGCGCCGCGGCCCCCCCCCCCCCCCGCCTGCTCGGGCCTGGCCCGGGGACACACACACAGACACACACACAGACACACAGACACCCCCGCACCGCCGGGTAACGGGGACACCCGCGGGGCCTGCAGGTTGCAGGAGCACCCAGCGGTTTTCCCTGCGTTTGGCGACCCCGTTGTCACGGCTGGGTTTTGCTTGGGGCGAACGGGAGCGCGGCTCGCGCCGGAGGAGCGGCCTGCATGCAGGGGATGCGGGCTGTAACCTTCGCTCCTGGGTCTCCGCTTGCAAACACAGGCGGGATGGGTGGCTTGACAGTTGCCTGGAGCTCTGTAAATGCGAATTAAAACTCCACTTTGGGGGCCTGGGAGCACCTGCCTGGGCGCTTGGGCTGAAGCGAAGCTCCCAGCCCTGGGCACTGTGCTGTGACGGGCCGGCAGCGTGGAGCGTCCTTGTGCAGGCTCGTTGGATGGCACTGGGATGGAACCAAGCTGGAGGATGACCCCACGTACACACACACTGCACTGCAGCAGCTGCCAAGTGTATGTCGTGTAGATCACGGAAAGGTTTGGGTTGGAAGGGACCATCCAGTCCCAACCCCCCTGCCCCAGGCAGGGACCCCTTCCCCCAGCCCAGGGTGCTCCCAGCCCCGTCCAACCTGGCCTTGAACCCTTCCAGGGAGGGGGCAGCCACAGCTGCTCTGGGCACCCTGGGCCAGCACCTCACCCTCCACTCAGGGAAGAATTTCTTACTTATACCTAATCTAAATCTTCCCTCTTTCAGTTTAAAACTGTTACCCCTCGTCCTATCCCCACAGCCCCTGATAAAGAGTCCCTCCCCACCTTTCTTCTACCCCCATTAAGTACTGGGAGGCTGCTCTAAGGTCTCCCCGAAGCCTTCTCTTCTCCAGGCTGAACACCCCAACTCTTTCACCAGGGTCTTCTACACCACCTGTTCCACTTTACTAGTTTGTTCCCTTTGTACCCCTCTACCTGCCAGAATTGATCTGGGCAGTTTTGCCAAGCCTTATACAAGTCTAAGGCCGGGCAGCCCTTTAAAATATTTTTGGCAATGTACATCTTATGCTTAAAAAAAAACCCAAGCAAAAATCTAAACCGAAGCCAGAGGTGCCAACTAGTCCAAAGGCTGGAGGTTCTGCATTCCTGCCCAGCAATACGTCTGCAGTGGCAGCAAGGCCGCAGCAGGAGCTGTGCTCTTGCCAGGGTCGCCTGCTTGGCCAGTGCTGGCCATCAGCAGCCAGACCCCAACTCCTGCCCCAGCTCCCTGCTGCGGCTCACACAGCTGCCCGGGCTGCAACACCGGTACTGACAGCACCATTACAGGGCTCAGCTACAGCAGCTGTTATGGGGATTGTCACCGTTCCCTGCCCCTGGCACCCTCCTGTCCCTCTGCTGACTTCTGCCCAGGGAGGGACTGGCCACACACAACAACCTGCTGCAAGTTTAATCCTTCCTTTTCCTTGTGCTCCGGAGTGGCCATCCATCCTACAGGCTCTGAGCCACCAGCCGGCCCCGTCTCTGACAAGCCCTGTGCATGCTCCTGTAGTGTTTAGCAACTCTCAAGTACCTGAGGGAAGTACATGGAAGGGGATACTACAGATAGCTGGATTTCAGCCAGAATAATAGGAATAGTTACCCTTTTAATGCCATTTTAGGCCAGTTTGTTCAACTGGACATTCACATTGAGCTGCTGCCCCAAAAGGCAGAAAATACACTGCAGAAGGCTGCCAACAGCCTTGCCTGGTCCCTGGATCCCACTAACTCAGGACCAGGGCTGGACAGAACACATTTTTGTGCTCTGAACACTAAATCCTGCCTTCCCTGAGCCTGTCCAGTGACAAAACGGCAGTTCCTGATTGCTGTGAGCTCAAAACAGCTGAAAGAAGGGGAAGTGGGGCTACAAATCAGTACATGATGCCTGCCATGCCATCGTTTCAAGATAAATTTTTACATACTTGCAAGATAATCAGTACATTCACAGTTGAAGAGGGCTTGGGGTTTCCCAGGACCAAGACAGTTTTGGTCAAAGGACTGGCACACAGGCTTGCTCTGCCCCCTTCCCTCTCCTTGCACTCTGGACATCTTCAAACGGCTGTTGGAAAGACTTGTTAAAAAAAAAGTGCTATAAGTAGCATGGCTTTGTAAAGCTTCACTGTGCTTACTTGGTCACAACCCTCTCACGTGCTGAGTCTCCCTGGGAATGGATTTGAAAACCTGGTGGCATCAACCATCTCCCAAGGCTGTGTGTGGAAGCAGTTTTAAAGACAGGCTCACACACTTCTGCAGTGCAGTGAGGACCATCTGGCAATGGTTAGTTTGTTATTATTTGCTTAGTCGATTTATTCTAACCCTTTCCGATGCTTCAGCACAAGACAGATCCTCAGGCGGGCTTGTGAGTTCCTGTCTGGGAACTTCCCCAGCCTCCTCCACAATAAACGCAGATGCAAAACACTCATTTGGGTTTTCTGTTCCAATATTGTCTTTTCTACATACTGCTTTTATATCTCAATAGCCGATTCGTTCTAGAAAATGTCTTTCAGGCTTCCTGCTCCTGACAAGACTGAAAAATGATTTATTATGCTTTTTAAGTCTTTTTGCTAGTTGTGTGTCCAACTCTGTTATTTACATAACTATTTTTACTGTTCACTTATTTAGAGTATTTTCTGTTTTCTTCATTAAAACACAAACCCAACATTTTGAAGGATGCCTTGTTTCCAATAGCTTCACATGTCCATCCATTTAGCCATGTTTGACTTTTTTTAGCCATTTTTTTAGCCATGCTTGATCTTCCTACATGCTTTTTTGACAGGTGATATGCATTTGATCAGAGCTTCCAATGTGATGTCTTTCAGTAGTCTCCATGCTGCATAAAACCCTTTTATTCTTTTAGCCACTCCTTTCAGCTTTTTTTCAAGAAGCTTTCTCACTGTTACAGAGTCCCCCTTTCCAAAATTAAGAACAACAGGGCATTTATTTGGCTTTTCTTGCTTTGATCAGAGTGGTGACTCCTAAGTACGTAATGGTCACTGATTCAAAGACCAATTGGTTAGGTCCTGTTCTCTTCCCTCAACCAAATTGAGAGTTGCTTCTCCTTTCTTGGCTTTCCTGACCAGCTGCTCTGTAAAAGGTCATTAGTAGTGTCTAACCATTCACCCTCACACATAAATCCTACGTGGTCTACATTGAGACGTTAGGCATTTCCCATTGCAGTTGTGTTTTCTGCCCTTGCCACCTCCTTTTTTTTTCATCATCTCTGTTAAGTGAGCCGGTGGAGTTAATCCCATGTTGTAAGGGTAGTAGACATTTCCACTTATTTCTATGTTGAGAAGTCACCAAAACTTTTAATAATCTCCCTTGTGTTAGGTGAGGAAATACATTTTCTGGTTTATAATGCCAGTTTGCAGATCTGTCCTAGAATGGAGTGTACCAGACTCCAAAGGTGCCTGCTTTTCTCTGCTGACTACAGAAGTCCAGACAACTAACCCACATGTAAGCATCTGCTTTTGTATAGATGAATCCTGCCTGTAGCTCTCTGGAAGTTGTTCTTGTTTTGCAGATTGTATTTATGCATCCCAGTATGGCATTTGCATTTTTTGCCATCATGCGACCTCGCAATAAGGGTGTATCCCAGTTCTGGGGACAGGACTCCACACGGTGCTTCATGCAAGGCCAGGAACTCGCATCACTTCGCCCACACATGTGAGTCCTGACGCTCTTCAGACTTGCCTTTCTCTTCTCACATGTACTACCATAACCTCATATTTTTGAGAGAACTGTTACTGTAATAGCAGTCATCATACGTTTGAGACCTGTACAGCAGTGCATACCATGCTATCATTGTGGAGGAAAAGGCAAACAAATTACAGCGTTAGCAACTGATCTGCTGATGAAACTACTAATTTTTCTTTTGTGCTTTTTCTAGCTTCATTTTAGCAGTAGTCTTAGTTTTGACTGCTTTTCCAAATTACATCTTCTTTTAAAGAACCAAAACTGGAGGAAAGAAATAACTAAAAGACAAACTTGTTGCTGATAGTCAGCTTGTCTGACTGCAGCAGATTGAAATGTCTTCTTACCTGTATTTCGTGTTTAATGAAAGTCTGCATTTACGTCGGTGCTTGCAGTCATCCCCTTTACTGATGGGGACTAGGTAGAAAGATGTAGCTAAGCCAGAAGTTTTACTGACATAAAGATGAACAAATAAACCCAATGTGAATCCTAAACCAACCAACAGTTATACCCTCATGTTCCCAAATTAATAAGTACTAAATGTTTCATCGCAATCAATACTAAATTTGACACATAAATCAATTTTTACCCAGGACAAACCATAAAATTAACCAAGCACAAACTTCTATGAATCTGTAATTCACTCATCCCACAAGTTATACAGAACAAGGCCAACAGACACTTTAAATGCCAGGTACATAACATGAAAACATGTTTTATAGTATTTTTCCACCAAGTAATGTACGTATTAATTGTCATATGTCCCATGACTACGAACACATACAGAATCCTAATTTCCTTGCCTCTAAACTGGTGATTAAGGGGCTGTTGCACAGTTAGATGAACCAGGCTGAGTTGAATGTGTCCAGAGCCCACGCCACGCTTGCTGCTGGTTTAGCCCCAGCCGTCAGCAGGGCAGTGAGGGCAGCCTCGCCGCGCCATCAGCACCTGCGGGTGCGTCTCATCCACCCTTCTGATTCCAGAGATATTGAAGATATTGATTCCAGAGGTCTTGAACAGCATAATCACTGTACCTTCAGTAAGACCAGGTCTTTACGCATTAGAGCCAAATGAATTGGGGAATAAAATGCCTGGGGTCTGAACATGACCTCAGCGAGAGCTACGGGAATACTGAGATCCCATGGTGGAAAGGAATCCCCTGATGTTCAAAACTCACATGAATTTTAGCAC